CCACCCCGGCCATTGAAACTTTCAGGTGTGAACCCCCCAAATCCCCAGGCATGAACCCCCTGGACCCCCGGGTATGAAATCCCTGGGCATGAACCCCTCAACTCCATGGACCCAGCCCCCTGATCCCCAGGCAGGGATCCAGGCTTCTCCCAGGGCAGATTTTGGGGTCCCAAGTTTCCCCTGAGCATCCCCCCGTACACTCCACGTGTCCCCACGCGTGGCAATGAAGAGGCTCGGCCGTGAAGGATTTGTCCTTTATTTGGGAAGTTCACAGTCAGTTTGGGGTGCAAGGACAGTGCTCAACCCCCCCAGGAGCAAAGGCTGGGCAGGGGGCTGCAGGGCAGGGAGGGACCCCCGACGGCTTGGACCCACAGCAAACAGCCCGGAGAGGGGAAATGCAGCGCTCCCCTCATCCATCCCTCCCTCCGCGGGGTTCTTTGGCTTCCTCTGGACATTGCACGCTCCGGGATGTGCTGAGAGGGCAGTGGGTACCTCGGGGAGGGCTGAGCCCCCCAGGAATCAGGGAACGCCACTGCTTCAGCCCCCGGGCACATCCACACCCGTTCCTTCCCCGTGCCCACCGGGACGTACCGCTGTGAGTGCCCTCCACCGCCCCGGACACTGCCCCGATGGCCGGAGGGTGCCCGAGGGGCTCTGCCCATCTGCTCCATCCCCGCCGGTGCCGGGAGGGACGTGGGGCACAGAGACCCGGAGATCCGGCAGAGAAAGCATCGGTGCCCGCGGGAAGGGGCGGAAGAGCCTCGGGGAGCCCCTCGGGCACAGAGAGAAGCAGGAGAGTGCCCGCCGGTCCCGAGCCGAGGGGCAGCCCCGGTGCCACCCTCAGTTCCTGGCCGCGATGACCACGGACAAGGCCACTCCGCCCAACGCGATGGCCGTGGCGCCGAACAGCCACTTCCAGGGGATGGACTGTGGATTGGAGCACGGGGCAGTGAGGGGCTGTGCCCGTGGTGGGGGACACGTGCCACCCCGCTATGCCCATGGTGGGGGACACGTGCCACCCCGTTGTGCCCATGGTGGGGGACCCGTGCCACCCCACCAGCCCAAAAGGGCAGCACTGTGTCCGCTATGTCCATGGTGGGGGACACGTGCCACCCCGCCTGCCCAAAAGGGCAGCACCGTGTCCGCTGTGCCCATGGTGTCCAATGTGCCCATGGTGAGGGGACACGTGCCACCCTGTTGTGCCCATGGTGGGGGACACGTGCCACCCTGCCAGCCCAAAAGGGCAGCACCGTGTCCAATTGTGCAATGTGCCCATGGTGGGGGACACGTGCCACCCCGCCAGCCCAAACGGACAGCACCGTGTCCAATGTGCCCATGGTGGGGGACACGTGCCACCCCGCGGTGCCCATGGTGGGCGACACGTGCCACCCCGCCAGCCCAAAGGTCAGCACCGTGTCCGCTGTGCCCGCACGTGGCCGGAGTGGCCGCAGGGACGGCGTGTGCCAATGCTGCCCGGGTGACAGGACAGGCGGGAGCAGAGTCCGGCCCCTCCGGCCGGCACGGACACTGATCCGGTGGACACGGCCCCGCCGTTATCGTTATCGGCGCTTTCCGGGCACGGCTCCGCCCCTGCTCCCGGCGGGGTCGCTGTCCTGGCACTGCCCAGCCATGTCCACCCGCTCCGTGTCCCTCCTGCGGGCCCTGGGGCGCACTGACCCCAACC